TCAACCAAAAAAACGTGTTGCGTTCATGTGTCAACTAAAAAAACGTGTTGCGTTGATACGGCAACTAAAAAAACGTGTTGCGTTCATGTGTCAACTAAAAAAAACGTTTTGCGTTGATATGGCAACTAAAAAAACGTGTTGCGTTCATGTGTCAACAAAAAAAAACGTTTTGCGTTGATACGGCAACTAAAAAAACGTGTTGCGTTCATGTGTCAACCAAAAAAACGTGTTGCGTTCATGCGTCAACTAAAAAAACGTGTTGCGTTAATACGGCAACTAAAAAAATGCGTTGCGTTCATGTGTCAACTAAAAAAACGTTTTGCGTGTCAACACAGTAACTCTGCTGAAACACACTCGGAGCCTGAAAAGTTGTGTTTTTGTGCAAAGTTTTATTCCTGATGTCAAAACAGTTGTGTTGTTGTGTTGCAGGATATCGGCAGGAACATCTACACACTGAGAGATGTGGTGGACGAGATCCGAGACAAACCCACCAGGAGGAGTTTGGCCTTCCTGCCGTACAAACTCATCTTTAAAGAACCACACCCCGAACATGTCAGACACGGTAACTACGTTTAACGTGGACAGAGTTTGTTCTTTTTTTAGGAACTAGCTATAAGTTGTGTCATGTGAGCAGCTCATCACGGTTGACGCCTGGTAAAGAAACGGTTTCGTGTCTGTCTCTTCAGTGATGGAGTTCTCTAAGAAGACCGGAGACTACCCGAGTCTTTCAGCCACCGATATCAAAGTCCTGGCTCTGACCTATCAGCTGGAGCTGGAGCACGTGGGCTCCCAACACCTGAGGAAGGAGCCGGAGGTCAAGGTAACAGGCTAACAGCTTCCACTCATTGAGCTAAGCTAAACAATCTTACTTTACTGTTCACGTAACTTCAGATTGTCTCTGATTCGTCGTCTGTAAATCGAGTAGAGTGAGTCTGATGTTTTGTCTGCTCCAGGTTAACGTTCACAGCACACAGCGCCACCCGGAGACTCCAGTTAATGTTGCAGGATTTCACTTCCCCTCTAAGGTAAAGCTCAGACGTTAGTTTAACTTATCCAGATCTGTTGTCTCTCTGAGGGTCGATCATCTTCACAACCTTTTGTCAAACTGTCTCTTCAGAAACCTGTGGACGCATCCAGCAGAAGACAAAGTCAACAAGAGACGAACGCTTCAAAACCGACTGACGGTGACGAGTTTAACAGCTTCCAGTTCTGGAGAGAGCAGCTGCCGTCCATCAATGACGACCTGCTGGAGTTACTGGTGAGTCCCAACAAAAGTCTCCGCGTCCGGACAAGAGTCAGATAAATGTCTCTCTGAGACAGACGAATGATAACGTTCTGTAAACAGTGGCTGATCAGTGTCAGCCATGTTCAGCAGATGAACTTTAAATCGGAGGCGTTTGTAAACGCTGCTGGTTTTAGTTTGACTCCTTGGTTGTGTTTTAGCCTTTAAACGATCAGAATATCTGCTCTGTGTTTTCAAACCTGTCAGGATCCAGTGGAGGTTGTGAGTTTGAGCAACAAACAGAAGCCGACTGTGACAAACGACGGCGACGAGTTCAACAGCTTCCAGTTCTGGCGAGAACCTCTGCCGACCCTGGACGACGACCTGCTGGAGTTACTGGTGAGTTTATGTCCAGGTGGAAGCTGGAAGAGTCATTTGAAATATAAACATTACAAATACAAACGTATTTGACCTGTGAGGCCCAGTTTGAATTCAAAATATAGAGCATCAGAGCGTCTTCGGTACCGTGATCCAGCAGCGGGCGATCCCCAGTGACGTCCTCAAACGTGGCGGGCGGCAGCTTTTAACTCAAACACAGAAAGCCGTCCTGCTCCCTGATTGGCTGTCAGCAGAAGCAGCTCCTCACTGTGTCACAGTTGTTGATTGGTTGTCGTGACGGTGATGACGTGTGTTGGCTTTCAGAAAGTGGACGATGTCTCGGTGTCGGTCACATCGACGCAGGCAGAGAACCAATCAGACGACGAGGACAAAGAGAACGAGCCTAGAGAGGAGGAGGAGGAAGATGATGATGAGGATGATGGAGGCGGTTGGATCACTCCCAGTAACATTAAACAGGTGAAGATGGACTCGGCTGATTGGACGGCTCCTGCTGATGTCACCGTCGGATGTCTGACCACTGACTTCGCCATGCAGGTAATGGGCGTCTGTCAGCTGACAAAGAATATGAAGTTCATTATTTATATTATCATATATTATTATATATTTCATGATATGAAGTAACTCAGCGTTATTTGTTTGGAAGGTGACGTGTACAAAAGTTCACGTGTGAGAAGCCGATAATTAAGTAGAACAGCTGATCGATGTTTTCAGTTCGGCTCTGATCTCTTTTCTCTCCAGAACGTCCTCATTCAGATTGGACTTCACGTCCTGTCCGTCAACGGGATGGTGATCAAGCAAGCGAGGAACTACATCCTGAGGTGTCACGCCTGCTTCAAGTGAGTCAAGTAAAACACAGAACTGACGTGAAGTCTGAGCGGTTCCTCCTCGGTTGGTTCAGGTCGGTCAGTTTTAATCTCAATGTTTTATTTCCAGGACGACGAGTAACATGGACAAAGTCTTCTGTCCTCACTGTGGAAACAAAACTCTGAAGAAGCTGGCGGTGACGGTCAGCGAGGACGGCAGCGTCCAGATGCATTTCTCCAAAAACCCCAAAGTGCTGAACCCGAGAGGACTGAGGGTGAGACACAGACCTGAACACACTGAACCATAGTGATCGCTGACCTCAGTTCAGTTTTAGTCACAAGTCTAATACGGAGAAACTCTGAGGTTTCATGATTCCACATGAACAGAACCTGAGGACGTTTAGATTTTCCGCCTTCAGCACGTTCCCACTCTTGGGTGGACGTTTGGAATTTTGCAGCGATGTTTGAATAACTTTGCTTTATTATTTGTCTTTGGTATCAATGATCATAATCACGTTCACATTGAGAAACCGTCAGAGACCTGGTGAAAACGTTCTGTGAAGAGGTCCAGTTCATCCAGGCGGCTGTTTTTCTTGTTCCCTGTTTTCATATCTTGCGTCAGACTCGTTAACCGTCCTGTATCGTGTGTTTCAGCACTCGCTGCCTCTGCCTCAGGGGGGGAAACACGCCAACAACCCCCAGCTGGTGGAGGATCAGCCCTTCCCCCAGCAGAGACTGTCCCGAAAGGCTCGTCAGAAGAACGACGTCTTCAACCCGGACTACGTGGCCAGATCCTCGCCTTTCTGCGAGAACGACATCTACAGCCGAGCGGCCAACCTGCAGATCAGAGACGGTCAGTGTGGCGGCGGCCGGAGTCGAGCTAACCCCAACACCGCCCGCAAGAAGTTTGTCAAAAAGAAGTGAGGAGCTGACGGACGATTGGACACGAGGACACAGCGTCACTGCACGTGTGTGAAATCACATGTGACGCTGCTGCTCAGCAGATTTCTGTCAAATGACCCTGCGACAGATTCTGCAGATAATCAATACATCAAACCTCCGTCAGCGTGTGGAGCCCCCTGCTGGTTCTTTCAGACACTGACATCTGCAACACAAGAATCAGCTGCTGACCAGCAACTAAATAACTCAATACAAGAACTGTTAATTCCAACATGGATCTTATTATTATTATTAGGTCAAAACCCCCAATTCAATAAACTCAAGTATCAGATTTTTTCCCAGGATTTGTTTATTTTTTTCTGTCTTTGGTCGACTCGGCCTCATCAACATGTTTCTGTATTAAAACCCAGAGAATGTAAAGTTTTACTTCTGTTGTAGAATCACATGTGAAATTACAGAATCATTGAAACTTAGGTGTTGAAGTTTTTTCTCTTTTCATGAAACTATGCTAACAGTTTCCCCCTGCTTCCAGTGTTTATGCTAAGCTAGGCTGAGCAAAGACAAAACAGTTAAATAACTACAGTTTGTTAAACAAGAGGCCAAAGTTCTGAAGTTTACTTTATTAAAGTCTCCTGACTCCTTCACAATAAGAGCCTCTTTTTTACTCCACAGAAAGTCCCACTGAGTCTGACGTGACAGCACAGAGGTTTATTTA